TTTTTTTTTTTTTTTTAATGATTTTGAGTTTTGTGCAACTTAAGTTTTTCCACTCAACAACATTATCCTGGAGCACTCCTACAGTCAGTACTCATGGATCTGCTTCATTGTTTTTCCCATGATTTCTTAGTAAGGATATACTGAAGTTTGCTCAGCTCTCTTTTGATGGGCATTTAGGTTGTTTCCAATTTCTCACCATGAAATTTACTTTTTTTGGTCTATCTTGGCTCTCTACTGTGGGATCCCCAACAGTAGGGATTTTCTCTGGTAGCTTCTGTACTCTTCATACCTAGCACAGGGCCTGGAAAATGGTAAGTGTCTAGCAGATACTCATGGAGTATGGTTGAGGGATTACACTGATGAAGCCTCTAAGTAGCTATGGGAGTAGGCAGGAGAAAGGCTTGTGGCATCAACTACTTCTCTTCTATTGTGGGGGGTGAGTTCCTCCTTGGCTCGTGTGTAGATTGCTCAGCTGGAAGGATGCTCGACCCTGGCTTCTACTGGATCTACTTGAGTGAGCCTGGGCCCCATCCTATACCAATTAAATAAGAATTTTTTGGGGGTGGGGCCTAGGCATTAGATGTTTTAAAAGCTTCCCAAGTTCTACAGCAGGACTTTGGTCTTCACACAGCGCTTACCATTTACATACCTTAGCTGCTATTCATGCTTTCTCCACCACCACTGGTCCTCAAGAGGACCCTTCATCACACAATAATAATGCCAGAGCTCACCATAAGCCTGAGGCTGTTCTAAGGACTTTAGATACTCTTAACTCATTCACTCTTTTCAAAAAATCTATGAGGTAGAAATTATCAGTAACTCCATTATTAAGATGATGACCTTGTGGCAGAGAAAGCTTAATTAACCTGCCCAAAGTTCCATAGATAGTGGGGGCCAGGGCCAGTCTTCTGGGCCATGCTTGTAACCACTGTAGTATCCTGCCTTTCATTGGAGACTGTGCTCAGCTGGTCGTTTTAGAAGGATACAAAACATAGGAACGCTGTTTCTGAGTGGACTATACATGGTTCGAGGAGTCAATTAAGAAGCCCTCAAGAACGTTATGGGCTGAGAACAACAATAAAGTATTTATTATGAACACTTCTGAACATAAACAACAGTCTTAAACTAGTTTGCTTTAATGAATGTAGAAGATTAATTTATTGAAATATTAATTTATCTTTTCTACTCTCTGATATATTCACTGGTGTATCCTTAGTATCTCCTGGCAAATAGTAGGTGCTCAATAGATGGTTAATAAATATTTGTTGAAAATACACTGCCAGTGAAAATACACTGAATTTATGAATGAAAGTTCTTTTCCCTACCCTAATAGAAAGAGCTCTGGTGGCACAAGGGTTAAAGCACTGGGCTGCTAACCAAAAGGTTGAAGGTACAAACCCATGAGGCTGTCTGCTTCCCTAAAGATTGGAAACCCTATGGGCAGTTCTACTTTGTCTTATAGGATTGCTGTGAGTTGGAATCAATTTGACGGCAATGGGTTTTTGGTTTACCCTAACAGGTAGCCATGTGTTCTCAGTCATGGCTGCCTGCTCAATCCAGGAGGCTAAGGAGAGCTTCTATGAAATTATGTGGAGATTAATTTCCTAGTTTTGGATATGCAGTGGCAGAGGTCTGTGCTGGGTTTGGGGTGGAGATGGCTGCACAGTGACTTGTTGTTATGTGCCATTGAGTCAGCCCTGACTCATAGCGACCCCTCCTTGGCTATCCGAAGTGGTATCACTACAGAAGTAGAATTGCCCAACCTTCCTTCCGAGGAGTGGTTGGTGAGTTTGAACTGCCAGCCTTCTGGTTAGCAGTCAAGTGCCTTAGGCACTATGCTACCAGAGCTCTTAGTGGCAGCTTAGTAAGGAGCAGGGCCTGCTAGCACCACAGCGTGCAAGGAAGGAGCAGTGCCTTGGTCAGAAAAAGGGTGGCTGTGGGCACCTGCAGACCTGCTCAGGTACCAGTGCTTCTGCCATGGCCAGGTTAGTGGCCACCATGAACGAGTATCCTCCCTTGTTCTCTGAGCCCCATGGAAGTCACTACTTTCTGTCAGTGCAGACAATTAACTCAGGGAGAAGGATGGAGAATCATTAAAAACATATGTGAGACTGACAATCAAATCATTCTGGCAAGTGGGAGTTCAAAGACAGATTTAATACCGAGTAAATGAAATAGCTCTGGTGGTGCAATTGTTAAGTGCTTGGCTACTAACTGAAAAGTTGTTGGTTAGAACATACTTAGAGGCTCTTTGGGGAAAAGACAGGGTGATCTGATCTTGTAAAGATTACAGCTTAGAAAACTCTATGGGGCAATTGCACTCTGTAATATGGGGTTGCTATGAGTGGAAAATTGACCTGACAGTACCTCCAAACAACAGCAACAAACAACAGAAGCTACCAGAGCTCCTTTGTTCACTGGGCTGGAGAGATAAATGTTAACAGGCAAAAGTGATGAAAGGTATATTTTACAAATGATACCATCTGCCTTTATATATATTTAGTAATAGCATAAAGTAATCCAACTTTTAGATCGTGGCTCGTTATTTTTGTTTGGAAATTGTATGGCTGCTGTTATTAATAAGTTGAAAAGAATATAAGGACCTTCAAGGAATGAAGACGGATTGGTTAGACCTCTTATAAGCTAATGGAGCCCTAGGGGCACAATGGTTAAGTGCTCAGCTATTATTCAAGAAGTTGGCAGTTCAAATTTACCCAGTGGTTCCAAAAGAGAGAGAGAGACTGGCGATCTGCTCCCATAAAAGATTACAGCCTTGGTAAATCTACGGGGCAGGAGCTCTGGTAGCATAGTGCCTAAGGCACTTGACTGCTAGCCAGAAGGCTGGCGGTTCAAACCCACCAGCCACTCCTTGGAAGGAAGGTTGGGCAATCTACTTTCATAGTGATACCGCCTCAGAAAC